TTGTGTCGTTATTGTTTTACATTCTTATCTACTTATGGATATCGTTCCATATCTCTGTCCTTGGGTTCTTTCTGTATTATTTTATTTTAAATTCTGAGGACGGAATTTGTTTTAAGAGGGGTAGGATGTAATGACCGTAAATTTTCAATACTGGTTTAAATAATTTTTCTGGTGTTTAAACATTAAATATTATTTTTCTAAAGTGATATTTGTATTTTCCCTAATTTCTCTAGAAATTTCTATGATTTAAAAATATGATATTATATTATTTTAATGGTTTTGCTAATTATAAATTTAATTGTTTCATTAAAACTTTTTGAATTAATATTTAATTATTCATTGTTATTGTTATTATTATTTTGACCATAAATTTTCAATATTTATTTGAATAAATTTTATGATATTTTTAAATTATTTAAATGAGTATTTTTTCCTGTGTTTTTCCTCTCACCGGTATTTCACTCTGTATCTCTCTTCCCCCTACCCCACTTCCCCAATTCACTCCCTAAATTCCGCACTCTCACCCACCTCGTGCTTCCCCCACTCCTCCTCAAAAACCCCCACGTCATTCACTCACTCACACGTCCCGCTCCCACCCCCTCTCTCCTCTATTATTCCTCAGCTAGCTCTCTCTCTCTCTCTCTCTCTCTCTCTCTCCAATCAATCACTTCCTCACTCTCTTCCTCTCTTATTCTCTCTCTCTCCTGTTCATCTCTCTTCTCCTACCTCAATGCAAGCACCAAGCCACCAGCTCCCTGAACCCGCGCCTCATGCCGCCGTCGGCCCTGACGCTCGCCCACACCGGCCACAACCGCCAGCTGCAACACCCCGACGACCCGTGCCGACCACATCCTCAGCACCACCCCCACTCCTCCACTCGCTACCAATCCCAGCCTTCGAACCACCAGGTCCGCCTCCATCCCCCTCAAACCGCCATCAGCTCTGCGCTGACCCGCCCCAGCTCTCGCCCAGTCCCACTCACCGCCGCTTCTCCCTCGGCTAACCGCTCAGCCGCCTGGATCCCCACGCCTCCTTGCTTCGACCACTGCCTGACCGCCGAACCTCCGTGTGCCCCACCTCCAACCACCCTCAACCAGCCCCGACAACCCCCGCAGCCAGCCTTCAACCGCCGACCCGAGTCCCAAACCCGACAGCCCTTCTCAGCCTCTCACTCCTTCCCTGTTTGCCAACAGCCGCCGCACCAAAGCCCAGCCCACCTTAGCCCTTACAGCCGCCTCCTCCTTGTCACGAGCAGCCCCACCGCCTGAACCATATTCGGCCATTCTCTCCCCCGTCCGCGCCCACCAGATTCAGTAACTCCGCCAACCTCCTCCGCGCCTCGCTCCCTTCTCCTCCTCGCGACACGACCACCTGCAGACCCACCTTCCACCACCGACACTCCCTGCCCCTCATCGCCCGAGTCCTACCCGACAGGCCCGCTCTCCTCTCACCGAGATCCTTGACAACCAGCCAGCCCGTTGCCGGCCTTGACGCGCCGCTGTCCGTGTCGAGATCCCGCCATCCAGCAGCCCCGCGCCGCCGACATCGATCCGTTCGACGCGGCGAGGCAAGATCCCGCTTCCCTTTGCTTCGTCATTTTAATATTTATATCTGATTAATTAGTTGTGTAGATTATACTGATATGATATTATCTGCGTGAGACTGTTGATGACGATATTTCAAATGATAAATTAATATTTTTCTAGGTTAATTAGAATTATTATTATGAGAAATAATTTTTAAAAGAGTTATTCTGGAAAAACGGTTTAAATTGAATTATTATTATAATAAATGAGTTGAAAGAATTTATTTTGGAAAATGGATTAGTTTTGAATAATTATAATGTTAAATAATTTTAAAGGAAATTTTTGGAAAATGGATTATTCTTAAAGGAATCTATTTTTGGAAAAGATTATTTTTTGGAATTAATCAATTTATGATCAAGACGATTGGAAATTACGACATTTCATGTATAATTATTTGATAGTTGTAGTTCCATCTTGCACTGTTATTAGTAGTTATTCACGTTTTTTGTTCATGATTCATGACACTGTTACATAGTATTCATTGTATTTATACATTGTTATAGTTGAGAATCGCGAGTATTGCTTGACCGTAGTGACCCGTGAGATATGAGTTGTTGACTTGGACTTGGGATGGGAAAGTCTTGGTTCATGTTATCGGATATGTTGTTGTTTATTTCCAGGCTCGCACCAGTGAATCATTTCGCACTGGGATGTGTCTGAGGAGCGGTGATATTATGATTATTGATTATTTCCAGGCTCGCACCAGTGAATCATTTCGCACATGGGTGGGTCTGAAGAGCAATGATCGGATGTGTTTATTGTTTATTTCTAGGCTCGCACCAGTGAATCGTTTCGCACTGGGGTGGGTCTGAGGAGCGGTGATATTATGATTATTGATTATTTTCAGGCACGCACCAGTGAATCGTTTCGCACTGGGGCGGGTCTGAGGTACTAGTGAGATGTGGTTGTTAATCAGATATCCGATAATGTGAACTTTGACTCTGTGTGAGATGTGAACCAGTGACTTGTATAGGATGGCTAGTTGCATGACTCATTTCTTAGCTAATTATGAGTTCTTGTAAGATATAGGCTAGTTGTGTTTCTTTTCAAATATAGATCGGGAGTAATATTTAATTATCTATAATTTTAGACATATGGTATATACATGAGGGTTTTCTTGTTTAGATTATTTCTCTCGACGTACTACGTCTCGAGTTGTAGATTTTTAAGTATTAATTTCATCTAGTGTATGACCTTGTGACTTTAAGTATTAATTTCATCTAGTGTATGACCTTGTGACTTGGATGATTTCTGATCGCTAGCTGCATGATCTCGTTACCCGTTTGATTTATGGATTCTTCTGCATGATCTCGTTACCCGTTTGATTTATGGATTCTTATGATTATCGTGTTTTAGTAGTGAATTTGCATATTGATTTTATCGGATTTCCAGATGCATGTTCTTTTATCAATTATGTTATCATATCGTTTTCTGTTTGGGTTTTCGTTCGCTCTATTTGTTTTGTGGGGTCTTGCTGTGTGCCATACACGCTGACGTACACCTATTTTCTCTGGTGTATGTCAGACTTAGAGGAAGAACATGTTTAGCAGGAGCCAGAGGATTCTCAGTAGGAGTACCCTGTAGACGGATTAGAAGAAGGAGTCGACGCATATTCTTTCCATTTATTAGTTGATGATTCCGTTTACTCTTATAGTACTTCCCATTTTATTTTGAACGATGTATTATATTTCTCTAGTATTCATTTGTTCATTTTGTATAAGGGCATGTTGACCCGAATATTATGTCTCGATGTTATCCCATTTATGATATGATATTTTTATTCTGAGTTTGTCTATTATATTCTTGCTGATTGTGATCGGGGATCTGTGCCTTTGCATTGTATTTATTTCCAGACACTTAGCGTATTAGGTTGGGGAGAAATGATTATTTTATTTATTCTTCGTAATCTAATACGTCGCGGGCTTGTTCACGATCCGATTCCCCTGTATTTTGGGAAGCGGGGCGTGACACCTAAACTTAATAGCCGATACATAACCTTAACAATGAAGTATTAACCTTAACAACAAACTCCTAACCTTAACAGCTGACACATAACCTTAACAACGAACCATTAATCTTAACAACTGACTCGTAGCCTCAATAACAAACTCATATACTTAACACCAAACACATAATCATAGCAACCAACTCGTATACGTAATAGCGAACTCATAACTTTAGCAACAAACTTAAAACTATCTCATAAAATCAGGCAAACAACACATAATCTTAACAACTAGTCCGTAACCTTGACATCCAACTCATAACCTCAGCAACCAATGCATAAGGTTAACAACTAACTCATAACCTATCAGTGAACTCATAAGGAAATTATAAGTGAAATGCTTACACATATTCAGGAGTAGTTTGAGTGTTCTGAGATGTTGAGGATTCCCCAGCGGATGTAGCATACAAGTTTACGTTTGTAAATCCATTACGACGATAATACTCGAACATCAAACTCAAGTCCTCGTCATTATCAATTAAAATACTGAATTTCTTTTTCCTTTCGCATATGAATTTCAGTGAAAGAGATTGCATTGGTATTTTAAGCATTTGTGACACTTGATATTTCAAGCTAACAATTTCTGTAGTCCCTTTGATAACTACGAAGACACCATCACCGTCTTCGTTGCTTTTTGCGCTTGTCACTTTGCAAAGAAGTGTTCCATCCGTCATTTTAAACAAGAGTAGTTGAAAGATTGAAAAGGATTTAGTGAGGAGAATTAAGTGGATGGAGAGTAGTTGAGGTAAGCAAACAGGGAGGAGATGGTTTTATTACGGGAGGGGGAATAGATATGGTAATAATTCAAAGAGAAATGAGTTTTTTCCCCTCCAAAACCACATTCTAATCACTAATTAATGCTACAGTCCTATTCCCGGATTTTCGCTTGATAGGGTGACAGGCTGTATGAGAGTATTTTGGAAAGATCATGTTGGTTTTAAACGGGCGTTATGGGGGGTGGGGGGGGGCTAAAGGAAAAATCGGCAGTCCTGTTAGGGGGCGAAGAGACCCTAACAAAATAGAAATGTTAGGGGCACACCCCCAACCACACCCTCTACCACACCTCCTCTCCCTCTATAGTGCATTGGGCCCCATATCAATTTTTTTAAAAAAAATTTGATGTGGGGCTCAATACACTATAGAGGGAGAGGAGGTGTGGTGGAGGATGTGGTTGGGGTGTGCCCCTATCACCACTCTTAACAAAATCCTGTAGGAGCGGAACACTAGAGTTACGGGCTAGAAATAATTTCCCCTTTTAACTTCCCCTAAATGGGCCTCCAAACATGGTCACTTCACTGTAGCAGCACATCACAGCTTCCCAATGCGGATAATAGTTTGGGGGTGGGGGGGAGGATCAAATAATTAAAAAAATGTGTTAAGATTACGAGATCAATCGATCGATGTGGCGGGTGGGGGGGAGGATCAAATAATTAAAAAAATGTGTTAAGATTACGAGATCAATCGATCGATGTGGCCACCGCCGTGATCGGCATCGTGCTTCGCGTCCTAGCAGGCGACCTCCGACGCTCTCCACCAAAAATTACCATGTACGCCACTCCCCGCTCAATCCAATGTAAATTCTACTTAATTATTCCCTTAATTGTTGCATGTTCGATTTATCTTTGAAATTAATGACAATCACTATGCAGAACTTCCTCTTTTAGTTGATGACAATGGCGAACCTACCCTCATCAATTACTGCGAAAACCTACATTCAAGCCAGTACATTTATCCCTTGGGGTTCTGTTCCATTCTGTAAGCAAACAGTTCCTTTAAAAATCTGCAAGAGTGGTAGATTGAATTATGCCCATAAACCTCAAAATGCGAAAGTTTTCTTGAAACCCCATAATTCTATTGAGCAAATTCATCCGGGTTCGGATCTAAATTACAATGCTGAGACAGGGCAGAGGGCAACCTCTTACTTGTTCAGGACTGAAATTGGTGGGCTAGTGAAGGTATTGGTAGGATTCAACAACATGAAGTATGCTGTTCGCATCGATGTGTCATCACTGCCCACTCGTACCAATGATTTGATACTAAGCTGGGGCGTGCACCGTTCCGATTCAAATCAATTGGATGCTCCGGGTTGTACCAAGACGCCACTTGTTCAAAACTTGAAAGGGAGATTCAGCGTTACGCTGGAGTTTAGTTCTACTCAAATCCCGTTTTATCTTTCGTTTCTGTTGCACTCTAGTTCTGATCATCCAAGGTGTGAATCAGGGATTAGAACGCATAGAATGACAAATTTCTGTTTGCCGGTGGGTATGAGCGCAGGACATCCTATGCCGTTGGGTGTTTCGAGATGTGAAGGTGGGTTGGTGAATTTTGCTTTGTTTTCGAGGAATGCAGAAAGTGTGGTTTTGCGCTTGTTTGATAACAACGTGAATGAACCATGTTTGGAGCTTGAGTTGGATCCGTATGTTAATCGCACGGGTGATATTTGGCATCTATCGATGGAAAATGTTGGGAGCTATACCAGCTATGGATACCGGTGCAAGGGAGAAACGGGTTCGGATAAAGGAAGTAGATTTCATGCTCGTCAAGTTCTTCTGGATCCATATGCCAAGTTGATTGCAAATGTTTCTCCCGAGAAAGGTGAATCAAGATCATTGGTAAAGTGTCTCGGCTCTCTAGCAGAGGAGCCTATTTTTGATTGGAGTGGCGATGTTCATCCACAATTGCCGATGGAGAAGCTGGTAGTTTATCGTTTAAATGTGGGGAACTTTACCAAAGACGAATCAAGTGAGCTGCCGGAAAATGTTGCTGGTACTTTTGCTGGGGTGATTGAGAAACTACCGCATCTTAAAAGCCTTGGCATAAATGCAATCCTATTAGAACCCATATTTACCTTTGATGAGAAGGAAGGCCCCTACTTTCCTTATCATTTCTTTTCGCCAATGAACTCATACGGTTACAAATCTGATAGCATTTCAACCATAAATTCTATGAAGGATATGGTTAAAACACTTCATGCCCATGGGATAGAGGTTTTGTTAGAAGTTGTCTTCACTCATACAGGGGAGGGAGGAGATTCATCCAGCCAGACGAAATCATTTCGGGGGATTGATTACTCGTCCTATTATATAGTTGAGGGGGACATGACACAAGGAATATATAATGCAGTGAACTCCAACGATCCTGTTGTTCAGCAATTGATTCTGGAAAGCCTCCACTACTGGTTAACTGAATTTCACATTGATGGTTTTTGTTTCATCAATTCGTCATATTTGCTTCGAGGCTCAAATGGTGAGTATTTATCTCACCCTCCGCTTGTTGAAGCTATTTCATTTGATCCATTACTTTCCAAATCTAAGATAATAGCGGATTGCTGGTCTCCGGTTGATGGGTCATATTTAGATATCCATTTCCCTCATTGGAAAAGGTGGGCAGAGATGAACACAAGATTTTGTAGGGATGTAAGAAATTTTTTGAGGGGTGAAGGACTTCTGAGTGATCTGGCTACTCGACTTTGTGGCAGTGGGGATCTCTTTTCAGATTCTAGAGGCCCAGCCTTTTCTTTCAATTATGTCACAAAGAACTTTGGGCTTCCCCTTGTCGATTTAGTCAGCTTTAGCAGGGATGAACTTGCGTCAGAGTTAAGTTGGAATTGTGGCAAAGAGGGTCCGACAAACAATAATTCTGTTCTTGAGATACGGCTTAGACAAATAAGGAATTTCTTGTTTCTCTTATTTATTTCACTTGGTGTTCCAGTGCTCAACATGGGGGATGAGTGTGGCTTCTCAACTGGTGGTTTATCATCTTATGGTGATAGGCATCCCATTGATTGGAACGTTACGAAATCAGTGTTTGGAAAACAAATTACACAATTCATTACATTCCTAAGTTCGCTTAGGAACCGAAGAAATGATATTTTTCAAAGGAGGGACTTTCTAAAAGTAGAAAATATTGTTTGGCAAGGAAGCAATCTGTCTCAACCAAAATGGGAGGATCCGTCATGCAAATTTCTTGCTGTGACAATAAGGGCAGATAAGGATGACAACATGTCAACTTCTTATAAGGGAGACTTGTTTATTTGCTTTAATGCTGATGATTTTCCTGAGATTGCTATCTTACCTCCACTTCTAGAAGGATATGAATGGTTCCGTTTAGTTGATACTTCTCTTCCATTTCCAGGGTTCTTTTCTGGAGAGTCTGTCTTCACTGAGGCTCTTTTGGGTTATGAACTGAAGCCTCACAGTTGCGTTTTGTTTGAAGTTAAAAAGAGTGCCAGCTGAGTTGACATTAATCTTATGTCTGCTACTTAATTTTTGTTTATGTTGTCAGAATAAGATGAAGTAAATGTTCATCTGAAGTTGTGCAAATAAAGTACATATATTTATTTATATTTTGTGCATAATTTTGATTCTTATTTGACTACATGTAGTATGTCTGGGAATAAGCTTATATTTTCATCAGGTATGCTGCATTATCTTCACGAGAGCTTTCGGTAGAGGGCTTATATTTGTTAAAAGCTTTATACTTTGTCTGATAGTTATTTGAAGTTGTATCTCTATCTGCAAGGATAAATGCTTTATCCCAGATTCCATATAACAAATTGTTTCAAAATGCTACACGTGTTAGGAGATTTGTTGTTCTTAATAATGGATGGATTGCATGCATAATGGTGGATGGATTGCAAAAATTTTTATTCAGTCAGGGCTCATTATTCTGATGTTTTTTCCTTCCAATGAGATCATAATTACAGTAAGAGGATGCATGATTTGGTGCGTGTACATGTGTGTGCATGTGCATGCAATCTTTGTTATCATATTGAGGATATTGTTTATATTTGGTTGTCAATTTATTTACTTTTTGTTCATTGAATATGCCAGCTGCTTTCTCTTCATAGCTACTGATCGTAATAATTCCTGTATCATAATTATAGTAAGCATGTGTTTGTGCGCAAGCACGTGCATGCATGCCTAGGTGTATGTGCGTGTGTGCACATGCATGTGTTTTCTTGTTATCATATTGAGGACATTGTTTATATTTGGTAGTTAATTCATTTACTTTTAGTCCTTTGAATATGCCAGGTTCTTTCTCGTCCTAGCTCCTGATCATAATAATTCCTGTATCATATATATTTGTCGTGTAAATGCCCTTCTGTTTTTCTCCTGCATGTTTGTAAGGGGCACCAACTTTATCGTGTAAGTGCCCTTTTTCCTCTTTGCATAAGTCTGTAGATATAGCTTTATCTGCAAGATCAGATTTTTTTTTTAATTTTAAACTTTTAGCAGCAGCTGTCTTTACGCAAATTAATAACCTAAGGTTTCAAAATTGTTAAATTTAAATACACATAATGCTGCTGAAAGTCTATCAAATTGCCACAAAAACTTGTGTCTTTTCTCTGACTTGGAAGTGTAAGGAACTTCACTTCAAAGAATGACTACTTGAGAGTGGACCTAAATAAAGCTGAGAAAAATATTCTGTAGGTGACTTTGATACTTGGAATGAAGACTTTGTTCTGTTGTACAGTGCATCAAGATATTAGATGGGAGCTCTCTCATTCACATTAGCTTGAAATTTTGGCCTAATGTCAATCCCAGTTTCCAACAGTACAAACGAGTATTCTGTTACATTATGCCATTCCTTGCTGAGTTTCAATTTTATGAATTCAACGGCAAATTAATCATCAACAAATATGAAACGGATACATGTGTTTGATGCTAACCATGTTCATCCTAACTCTTGTATTCCTTTCTAATGCAGAAACAATGTTGTTTGGATCTGATTCCTTCTTACTGGTTCAAGTGATTGTCTTACCGAACTTCACACAACATACAGCATGATGCATGGTTTGAGAAACTGAGATATATTTCTTACTTTCAGAATCAATCGCACATTAACTCACATCATTTGTATTCTCAGGAGTACTTATTATATGGGTTCGATTCCTCAGGCAAAGATTGTGGCCTTAAAGGAATGCACGGTTGCCTGATGTGTTTATAAGTGAGTCATATTGAGTCATATGTAGTTCTATATTCAGGTCATAAGCATGTCTTATACTCCTTTCTGATGAAGTATATAATACAGGAAACCAATGCATGTAAATATTTAAATCTTTTCAGCGGTGTACATGTATAGGATTAGACTTTTATCCAAGTTGGTGCTTGGTACCTTGCCTTTCTTGATGACAACTGCCAAATATTTCAGGTTGCATTTGTAGGGTACATGCAGCCAACATGAATGTTTCTGGTGAAAGACTACTTTTGTGGCAGTACGTTCTTAAAACATGTATAAATAATCTAGCAACAGCCATACAAGATTAAGGGTTGATTTCAGAAAAACCCCCTTAAAAACCCCCTTGAACTTTGGGACGTGTTGCAGATAACTTTTTGAACTTTGTATATCTCACACAGTCACCTGAACCTTAGGGTGTCTCACTGAACCCTCTGAACTTTAACCTTATCTCACCTGACCCCTGCCCGTCTGTTGACATATTAGTATTAGTTAGGACTTATTTGTAAGTTGTGTAAGGGGCCTATATAAAGCCCAAGAGATCTCATAATGAATTAGGGTTTTCATTTACAACTTGGTATCAGAGCCTCCACAAAAAAAACCCTAACCCTAGCCCCCCCCNGCCCCCTGTCAAACCCGACCAGCCCCTCCCTCTCCCTTCAGATCAAACCCGACCAGCCCCTCCCCCCCCCCCCCGACCAGCCCCCCTCCCCTTGCTGCGCTATGCCGGACCTCGAGTTTGGCATGGGTTCCCTCGACTCGGTCCTCGAACTGATGACAGGAAGAGTATATATCTCACAGCGATGAGATATATCACTATTTTTTGATTCTAGTTTCCTCTGAGAAACGAGAATTTGTTGGAGATCTTACTCTTGTTGTGCAGCACAAGTGCTGCCGAAATTTTCACTGCACACAACAAGGGTTTGACGGTGTTGGATCTGAAGCTTGATCGATGGAGGAGATCATCAAGAAGTTAAACCCTGCGGAGGTCTCAACTTTGATGAAGTTGACGGCTGATGAAAGCGCGACAAGACCATCGAAGAAGTTGGAGCTTCCGACCATCGATCTAAAGCTTGATGGACCGAGTACCTACCTGAGTTGGTCACGACGTGTGAGATACACCCTTGCAGGGAGGAACCTGGAGGGTTACTTGACCGGAGAGAAGACAGAACCGGATGAGGACTCGGGAGGACGAGATGAGTGGAAGTCCACTCATATGTTGGTGTACATCTGGCTTCTCAACTCGTTGATCCCGACGATCGCCGCCACGGTGGATGGCATTGAGAAGGTGAATGACGTCTGGGAGAAGTTGAGGAGGACATATGCTGGAGTGGGGAATAACCTGAGGGTATTCCAGATTAAAGGAGAGATCGACGCTACAGTCCAGGGAGAGAGGACTGTACAGGAATATGCTACAGAGTTGGAGCGCCTGTGGCTGGATTATGATCATTTTTCCTCTCGGGCTAGCTGCAAGGACCCGGGATATAAAAAGCGGGAGGCCTTTCTACAGGAGAGGACTATGGTGTTTCTCCAGGGATTGACATCAGAGTTCGCTCAGAGAATCGCATTGCTGCTAGCTCAGCCGAAGATTCCCACGCTTGAGGAGGCTGTCTCTGCTATGATCCAGGAGGAGACTCGCATTCGGCTGCAGGCGGGGACAGGTGGACTTCCGGTGGTGAAGTCAGCACTGACAGCCTCTAGCAACACTGGATCTAGGGGAGAGACTCGACAGTGCTACAACTGTGGTGCGGTGGGTCATCTAAGGCATGCTTGCACCAAACCACCCAAGGAAGGAGATTCGGGTGAACGTGGACAGTTCGGAGGTCGTGGTCGTGGCCGTGGGGGTCGATGAGGTGGAAGAGGAGCAGGGAATCGGGCGAATCTGACGGTAGCAGAAGAAGAAGAAGCTGAGGTGGTCTTTACTGAGGAGGACCGTGCTCTCCTGGCGATACTAAGGAAGAAGCAGCAAATAGCAGGGGATGGAGACTTGAGGAGCGGGACTGAGGAGGCATCCACTTCGTTCTTCGTCAGAGGCAATACTGCTACATATGCTCATCCGACCAAAGGTACTGATGACATACATGCTCTTGCTTCTATGTCTCCCAACAGATCATCAGAATGGATAGTCGACTCCGGTGCGTCTCGGCATGTGACAGGTAATGCTAGTGAGTTCTCATCATATACTCACTTAGCATCACCTGATAGTATTCAAACAGCTGATGGTACATTTCAGCCGGTGGTTAGTAAGGGTACAGTCGATTGTACTGGTTCTGTAACTTTGTCCAATGTTTTGCATGCTCCTTCATTTCCAGTTAATCTTTTGTCCATTAGTTCTATCATCCTCCAACTAAGATGCATTGTTTCTTTTGATATTCCCAAGGTGATTTTTCAGGAGAAGGGGACAGGACGGAGACTTGGGACTGGCACATGGCGTAGTGGTAGTAGAGGAAGCAGGAGTAGGATCTAATATGAGTACTGAGAATGAGTTAATGCTTCATCACCAGCGTTTGGGACACTCATCCTTTAGTGTTTTAGGTAGATTGTATCCTTCTTTATTTGAGAAAGCAAATAAACAGAAACTTGTGTGTGATGCATGTGAGTTTGGAAAGCTTACTAGAAGCTCTTATGTTAGTTCAGGTCAAAGAAGTTCTCGTGTATTTGACTTGGTACATTCAGATGTTTGGGGGCCTTGTTCCACAAGTTCTACGAATGGATACAAGTATTTTGTTATATTTATTGATTGTTTCTCTCGTGTGACTTGGTTATACTTGATGAAGAATAAGAGTGAAGTGTTTGAGTGCTTCCAAAACTTTCATAGGAATGTTCAGACTCAATACGGAGCAGTGGTGAAGATATTGAGGTCGGATAATGGAACAAAGTATACCAACAGAGCGTTTGAAGAATATTTGTCAACTCAGGGAATACATCACCAGACAACCTGTCCATATACACCAGCTCAGAATAGGGTAGCGGAAAGGAAGAACAGACATCTTTTAGAGGTTGCTAGAAGCATGATGATCTCTATGAATGTGCCAGAAACATTGTGGGGGCAAGCAGTGTTGACCGCAGCAGCGCTGATCAACAGAATGCCCTCGAGAGTGCTGGATTGGAAGTCTCCATGGGAGATAATGGTGGGCTTCTTCCACTCAAGGTGTTTGGCTGTGTGTGCTTTGTGAAGGACAACAGGCCATCTGTCGGGAAACTTGCCCCTAGAGCTGTGAAGTGCATCTTTGTAGGATATTCTGCTACTCAGAAGGGATATGTTTGCTGGAGCCCGGTGAAAAAAAGGTTGTTTGTGAGCATGGACGTGCACTTCCGAGAACTCGAGCCATATTACACCCGGAAGGTAACTTCATCTGTTGGTAACTCGCCTAATACTGGAAGTATGAGGCGAGAGGAGGAGAATGGTGAGAGAATGGAGAAATCAATGTCTGAGAATGGTAAGAGATCAGAAAAATCGA